TTTCTTTAATATCTTTTCCCTTAAGACACCTTTCCATTCCATTAAATCATTATGTATGTTCGACAAACATGTATAACCCAACAAGATACATATTATATTTTCAAAGTCTCTTCTTTCGTTGCATCATCATAACTTATTTTCACTGTTGTTAGCTCCATGATACAGTTTTCCAAGGTGATTTGTGAATTTGCTGCTGTTATGACTGCAATCAATAAACCAGACATCTATACCTGATAAACAAACTATTTACACCATTATAAATCAACAAATAAATCAATTTATAATAAAATAATAGACAGTTGCAAACAAACACATAGTATTTTGATGAAATTAGGCTATTTCTTAATAATTCACCTCAAATTGGCATTCTTGTGCACCTTCTCACCACCTTTAGGAGGTAGCGTTGTCGTCTTCTTAGGCGCCTTCTCAACCAGCTTGCTTGGTAGCAAATTGAATCCTCGCACCTTTTTGGTGATCGTAAACAGCTTCTCTTCCACTTTCTCCTTCTTGTTGTTCTTCTTGTAGAATGCCCTGCTTGAATCAGTCCACTTCACATTTCTGGCCGACACTTTCGCCTTCATCAACGCCCTCTCCTTCTTGTTTGCCGTAAACAGCACCTTGCAGTCGCCCATCACAACATGAATCCCGCTGCCTCGTGGCACGTTCCATCCACTGAACATGCTCTGTCCTTGAAACATGGGTAAAAATTGCCAAAATGGGAATCCTCATTTTATCCAATTAATCAGTTCATGGTGTAAATGGCATAAACAGGGTAGTGAGTCAAATCCACCCTTTCGAGTTTGCTTAGAATCCTGGCGTAGTTGAGTTTGAACTTCTTCTCGTCGTCCTTTAGGAGAATGAAGTCGCGCTGCTTCCCATCGTCGAGCCTTCCGAAGTTGTGGAACGTTGTCTTCGACAGTGTCGTGTTGTTTGTATCAAGTGCAACTGCATTATTCATCGAGTTCTTGACCAGGCTTCTGACAAGGGTAGTCTGCTCATTGATCATTCCCAGGAAGAAGAGAGGGTGTTTCCCATACGACCCATCGTTGATGTGTTTGATCATGTTGTACATTTGTTTCTCAATGTGCTTCTCGTTTCCACTGTACAGATCAGCATTCACAACCGTGAATATCATATCAGGATTCGTCTTCATTCTTAGGACTGCAAATGTTGCATATGCGTGCTCCTTGAGGTGGAATGGCGTAAAGGATCCCTCCTTGATGAGCTCAACAACGTGTTTGTCGTAGAAAATAGGCCTTCTTTCCCTCTTTCTGGTCCTCAGATCAATATTGATCTGGCTGTCTCCAACCATCTCGTAGTGGCCCTTGAGCGAGTCCTTGATCATCTGAAGCTGCTTGTGTGTGACAGCCTGTAGCCCAAGGATGGCTGGGTGGTGCTGGTCCACCAGATGCGTCACTTTGACTCTCTGGTTGCCCTCATTCAGCCTCTTTGTTGTGTACAAATTGATTGACATCAGAGACAAATCACCAAATGTTGGGCCACTGGGCGTCTTCAGGTGCTCCTTCAGAAAACCCTTGTTTTTGACAAGGTCGTGCTGGATGGAATCTGCTTTTGGGTCGTACACGCTTGGAAAGTACATCCTGGTTAAGATATTCTGCATGTATGTGTACAGGAGCATGGCTGCCATCAGAGACGTGTTTTATGAAAAAGATCAAACGCATTTGAAACAGTCACAGATGCATATGTCATATTCGCAGGAGTGTCAATTTTAAGACAAGATGGCCGAGCGGTCTAAGGCGCTACGTTCAGGTCGTAGTCTTCATTATGAAGGCGCGGGTTCGAATCCCGTTCTTGTTATTTTTTACTTTTCTAGATTTCTGTAGAAGTCATCAATGAGTCCCTCAATTGTGCTGGTCAGGAAGAACGACCTGAATCCAAGGTGTCCCCCTTGCAACGTGATTAGCCCCGTGTTTCTGTTTTTGAATATTTTCTCCTTTGGAACCACTTCAATGGGTATAACTGGATCATCATCAGCATTTATGAAGAGGAGTGGCTTATCGACCAGATGGATGCAGTCTTCCGACGAAGCTGCTTTCTGGTATTCTTCGACTGAGCCGTATTTCAGAAAGCCCTCCTGAATCAGCTGATTGATGATTTCTCTAAAATCCCTACCATTGAATTTCTGTCTGTACACCTTTTCAAGGTGATCCCTGAATTGATCACAGACTCGTCTTCCTACGACCCTGTTTATCCACGTTCCTTTCTTGTGGACTTCTTCCAGTTTCGTGAAGTTGAATGGGTTGCAGACACTCACGCCGCCTAGCACTCTCTCGTGCTTGAATTCAGCCATGAATTTGGTCACCATGTTTCCACCTTGTGAGAATCCAACGAAGAAGACCTTTCCTTCGTACGTCTCCAAAATGTGCTTGGTCAGAAACAGAATGTCTTCTGTGAATCCAAAGTGAGTGAATGTCATTCCAGTGAAAACACCTTTTTCACCACGTGAATTGATGCAAAATACCCTACAATTTTTCCTAAGAAACAGGTTTGCCATTCCAATGACGTATTTGCTGTCTGATGATCCATTCAGGCCATGAACCAACACAATATTCATCTCTGGTAACTTGTTGATTGTTGGCGGACCCTGTTGCTTTATTTTCGTACACATTCCTAGAAACCCCAATAAACTGTATATGAGCTTATAGAGTGCACATACACATCTGTACGTGAATGACAGTGGCTCACACATCATCTTGTTTTCGTATTTGTCTACCACAATATGTGTGTCTTCTGCTACTTCCAGTCTCAGTATCGTTTTTCTTGCACCATATATTATACAGGCGTAGAATAAGTGTTGGATTGCAGATTGAACACAGCCTGAGTTCATGATTAAAACAGGGAAGATGTATCCAAGTGCTATCTGCTTCATTGTTCTGTTGCTGGTTACGATTGCTGGCCTGTGTATTCGTGTCAAGTAGACTAAGAATAGTAGGGAGCACAAAACAATCAGAATCATTTAGGGGTCCTGAAACTTTTCTAAATTATGCGAAATCTGATTGTTTTACAATAAAACAATCTTCTGATTTAGGTGTCTCTAGTCACAAAACACCTGTTGTACAAACACGCCGTCAAAAGATCCTCTGACATATTCCGTATGCCGTATTTACTGGCTACCGCCCTGTCATTGATCACCAGAATCCTGCTCTTGTCTTCGTGTTCCAAATCTGCTATTTTTATTATTCTTCCACCCAAATACAGCACATAATTGCGATATTTTGATCTACACACTACGCTATACCTCTTCAATGCCCTAATCTGTGCCACATCACCCACATTTATCAGCTGTTCCACTGGAATATCCTCTACTCTCTCATTCTTCCTAATTCTATCCAATTTCCTGAAGTATCCTTTATGTAACTTCTTCAGAATTAAATAGACTTTTTTCAATTCCATATCCTCCTTGTTTGGCTTGTTGCTTATGTCAAATATGTCTTCCTCACCCTCACTTTCTTCCTCAATTTCCACATTCACGTCTTCCTTAACCATACTTCTGTACTCATCTGCTGCCCTATCCTGGTTGGACTGTGCTTCTTCGTCCAGCAGTCTCTGAATTGCTGCATCCAGAAAGTTCTCCTTCTTCGCAGCCAGTCGCATCTTGGCCAACCTGACTGGATCATTCACATCCTCCATGCTGTAGTAGCAGAATGGCCGTATGAATATGCAATTTGGTATAAACCCCCACACATCGATCCTATCATCTAAGACCAGCACATTTTGATCGAAACTTGTTATCCTCTTAATGTATTTCTTCAACTCATTATTGTTTTCAGTCCTAGTCACAATTCTATCACCAAAATACGTCTTATCTGGATCTATTGCCTTACAAACAGCATCGGCGTATCCTCTGGTTCCCAACGTGTAGACGTGCATCTCAAAGAGGCGGTTTGTCTTCCTCAGAAACTGGTCAAGCCACCGCCTGTTTTTGACAGCGAAGCGGACACCATCCAATTCAAACGAGAAATCACAGTTTGCCTTCTCAAGCGTAGCGTGAATGACCGTCTGATCCAAATCACAGAGAAGAATGAGCTTACGGTGTTCAGCCAGTTTGTAGAAGTGTTTTAGGTGGCTTCTGAATGCGTCTTCGTATCTTTGAAGAAGTTGATCCGATCCGTGTGTGACAGTCACCAAATTGACGTCTCTCTCAAGACACGTCCCGCAATTGGCGCACAAGTCGCCCATTCTCAGTGCGTGGCTACACTTTTCGTCCTGCATGTCCAGTTCAAAATCGATTTCTTTTTCCAGGTCGTCCAAGGCCGCTGTTTTCTTAGTTCGTTTTGGATTTCCGCCTGGATCGTCCATTTGGGTAAAAAAGTTTACGAATGAAACCCATGCGACTTGGAATCGTCTACGATTTTGACGAGTCTGGAGAAAGGGAGGCCGTAGAACGATACAACAGCAGCATATTTGGATTCATAAATGCATGTCTGCTCTTTTCAGAGGACATGGAGGTCTCTGTGATCAACAACAGAACCATTTTGTATAATTCGTCCATAAATACAGGATTTGAGTCACTGAATGGTGTAACAATCTATCCAGTAACACCTGGAGACATCAACTATGCAATTCTGTTCAATTTTGATGAGATATTGGTGACTACAATGCATTCAGGTAGTTTCGTATTCCTGAATTTGATAAAATGCATGAATGGTGCAAAGGAGTTTGGGATACCAATTCACACGTACAGCAGCAAGGAGAATGTGGAATTAAGGCTGATATCACAGGCAACTGGTGGAAGACACGTCATAGACAGCTTCCACGGCCTCCTTAGAATTCTGAGTTCTTCTAAAATTGAACCATTTGAATTCAGCCCTGTTCTTTGTCACTGCTGCAACAAACATATCCAAATTGGTCACTGTTGCCCCACTTGCCTTGCTGTCTACTGCAAATTCACACCAATTTGCAAGAGATGCAAGACCAAATTCCTGTTTGCACGAAACAGGTGACGTCATCAAATTGATAAATTTATCCATGTCGAATAATTTCACTGGTAACGTAGACTCCACCTGTTTTAAGATACTCTCGTACAATTTTCAAATCAAATAGAAATGCCAGGTCGCTCTTCTCCACATCCCTCAGATCAAATCCAAACATCTTCTGCTCGATCAAATCCCACCTCTTACTCTTCCTAAATGCCAAATCAAATGGTATTATGATCTGCAACAAATCAGGATACTCCAACAGATCAACTTGTTGCCTGAGAATTCCCTTTTTATGAAGATATTCCAGCACCAAATCCACTGCCTTTGTTGTGTATTCCTGTCTTTCTGAGAAACTAAAGAGAATTGTACCAAACATCTCATCCAAATCAATCATTGTCTGATTCTCCCCATTGTATTTGGTCTCCACTCTCCTGAATGCATTTCCCAATGAAAAATCTGTGTATTCACACTCTCCAATTCTCTCCATCTTGTATCTTATACAATCATATTCCAAATCATTAAATCCTTGTTCCTTAATAAATTTCATAATCATCAGGTAGTTTCCAATCACATCCTTATCTGCAAATTGCAGTATATTCAGAGTTGTTTCAGCACAGTTGTATTCGTGATTAGGCTCTATTTCACCAGTCAGAATGAAGTTAATTTTGTCCTTTTCAAAATCCATGTTTCCCACAATTTTAGTTGTGCCTGAATTTGTGACTGTGAACTTTGCTACTTCCCTATCTCGCATTTTATGGTCAAATATTCCACCACAGCATCCTTTGCTCGTAAACATGACCATATCATTCCTCATCTTTCCCTGTAAACAATTGTATTCATGTACCTTTTTCATTTCTAACAATGCATCAAGCTGCCTCTTGAAGCAGTAGAGTGTCCAAAATTCATACAGATTCCTAATTACAATCGCATAGTAGACCAATGTAATCGCCATTCTCTTTATACAGCCCCATCTTCCTTGTTTTGTTATTGGTTTTCTAGTTGAACTCATTCAGGCCCAAAAATGAACTATTTACAAATTTATTTGGAGAGTGCTGTTACAACCAGTCCAATTATCAACAACCCACCCAACACGTAGAGAGTGATAGCCCACCAAGATGTAGCCCAGTTGCTATCATCGTCTTTCAGTTCCAGGTAGTTTCCACTCTTCACATACACAAATGGCATTGAATAGAACATCGTACTCTTCTTCCCCACATCCTGTACAACCTGATACTGTAGAACGTACGTCTCATCGTCACTGAAATCCATTTCGCCCATATCGAACTCAAATGTCTTGTCATAAAGTGTTCCAAGCACTGCTGTTATCTTCTCCCTGTCTGACATCTTTGCCTGGCCCTTCTTCCTTGTTGCCTCCTTCCTGTTCACTTCGTCTATTTTCCAGTAGCTTCCTGCCTTGCTTGTGAACTCATCCCAGTTGTTCTTGCTTGAGTTGTGGTATGCGTTGAAGACAGACATCTTTGCCTCGTAGTCCTTTGGAAGCGTAACATCCTTAGGATCGATATCATTCACCGTCCTAATCATAGTCTTATCTCCCCCAGTTGAGAACTTGTAGAGAATCGCCGCCTCCAAATAGAGTGGTTTGCCATTTATGATTGTCTTACCCCGCATTCCGTCGAATATGAGAACTGTGCTGTTCTGAGACGTGTTCTCGTACTCCACGTCATCACAGAGAGCCACAGCAATCAATGAGAGCAACCCAAACATTGTGGCTTATTTTGTAAACATTTTTCAGAAAGTGATTAGGAGACCATCGACAGTGTCTGCGTCAGCCGCAGTCTTCTCCATCACTCTTTGTTTGTTTTGAAGTTTGTTAGTAAACAGTCCCATTGTTTGATTAGACTGATTGTCATTCTGAATGGATCAGTTTCAAACTTAAACCTAAAACAAAACCAGGCCAAATAAACAAAATGAACATAGGCAGAAGGGAACTGACTGAAAACGAGTTCAACGTACAGTGGTATAAAATATACAGGGAGCTTGGCTCGCTCTACGACACGGACGCGTGTGACGCGCAGGTCGTCTACGACGCCCTGTACGTGCTCTGCACGTCTGCTGCCAACGTGGACAGCAAGTTGTACTGGAAAGTGGGCGACTTCTTCTACGGCAAATGCGAGCAAATTGCTGGGACCATTGGAGGAGGCAGCGACCACGTTGCGGCCTACAACAGGAATTTCAGGAAGTACAGGCTCTTTGTGGGGCGGGCTGACGAGATGTGCTGCTTCCTGAACGACTGCGTCAAAGGAAAGAGCATCGAATACTTTGGGTTTCTGCTATGGGAGAAATGCGTGATTCAGGGACTCGGGGCCGACTTCTTCGAGCGAGTCTACGCGTACGACGAGAGAGGAGGCAACGAGAGAATCGAGGCAGTGGAGTCGCTACGCTGCATCGTCCCAGCAGATGACGAGCCTCTTCTTTATTATACTGAGAAATACGAGAAGATTGGTCTAATAAGCATAACTAACAAATATAAGCATATTGAAAAGAAGACTAAATTGGATGAATTTGCTGAGGCAGTTTGGGAGGCAGTGAGCCACGAGGCAGGCAGCTTTGGGCTCTACTTCCTGGAAGAGAGCGCTGGTCGCGTCGAGATGGCCCTGGAGCAGGCGCTCTTTGCCTGGGCTGGAACAGGCGTAGTTCATGCGTATGCATCCATGCTCAGGAAGCTGAGTCGAGGAAGAAGGGCTGAATCGGTTGAAATGGGTCGTACGACAGCAGCTGCCTGCAGCAACGAGATGCTCTCGAAGCTCAGGTTTCTGATAGAGCGAACAGACCAGCACGACGTGCTCCTTCGGAAGCACGCCTGGTTCTTCGTTGGCTCCAGGCAGATTCACCTGAAACTGTTCGAGCAGCTGGCTTCCCTGAAGGCAGGCCACATCGCAGTGAAGCAGGCGTACGCCCACTTCGTCTACGACGCAGTCCAAGGCAACCAGGAGATGCTCACTGGGCCAGTTGAGCAAATATACCAACTCTACGACAAACTAAACATATTCGAGTACGAGAGAGTGAGAAAGGCAGCAGCAAGCAGCGACGAGTCGCTGCTGCTGGAGCATTGGCACGGAAGATGCACCGAGATGACTGCGATTCTGGAGCAGATTCTGAAGAGGAGTCTGGAACGAGTGAAGCCGTGCTACCTGGGCCGCCTGGCCGACTACACCAACAGAATCGCCTGTGCTCCACAGGAGAGGAGGCCGTACCAGAATTCGACTGGCGCAGATTACGCCCAGTTTAGGGCTCTCTTTGCCCTGGTCTCAAACAAGAAGGAATTCGCCAACATTTATCGTGAAACACTCTCCCAGAGAATTCTGGCTAAAAATAGCCTTATTTCGCATGAAATAGCCTTATTAGGAGAAATGAGACT